CGCCTCTGTATTTTCTCGGGTAATGTATACTAAGTGACATATAAATCCGAACACCCAGTTTAAATGGTTTTATTTTAATAAAATTTTGTATAAGTACTTAATGAAGCACAATAAGTAAATGATAAAAATTTCAAAATGATTGCACTGCTTTAAAGCCCTTTGACCTTTAATAATGTGTGGATGCACCCTGATGTGCTACGCATTCTCCAACGCGCCTAGGCATGCTACTGATCAGGTGGTCAATGTCCTCCTGTGGTATCTCATTCCAGGCAACCACCAACTCCTCTCGAAGTGCTTTTAGAGTCTGAGGTGGACGTTGCAAATTGAGAAATCTCCTACCCATCATATCCCACACGTGCTCAATTGGGGATAAGTCGGGAGATCTTGGTGGCCATGGTAACAATGTGACATCATTATGTTGAAAGAAGTCTATTGTGACTCTTGCAACATGTGGTCGGGCATTATCTTGTTGGAAAGTTGGATCTGCCAGGGTGTCAAGATAGGGTAAAAGATGGGGTTCTAGAACTTCGTGGATATAACGCTGCGCGTTCATGTTACCTCTGATGAAGATTAAAGGTGACCTGGAACCATAAGCTATAGCACCCCAAACCATAACTCCAACAGTGTGATGAGCATGTCTTTCAACAAAAAACTGTGGATTCCTCCTTTCACCACGTCGCCTTCTAACCCTGGCACGACCATCGTGCATGCCTAAACAAAATCAAGACTCCTCACTAAAGACAATACTGTTCCATTCCTGATCCCAGAGTGACCGTTGTCTGCACCACTCAAGGCGATTACGTCGGTGTTCTCGAGTTAAAGGGAGGAACCAGTGTGGCCGGTATGAAAACAAGCCAAAACTTCTCATTCGTCGGTAAACACTTCGCACGTAAATAGGTCTTCCGTGTTCTGCAAACCATTCATTTGCAATGGACCTGGTAGTGGAGAAACGGTCCCTTAAGGCTAATAATCTTAGGCGGCGATCTTCACGGTCTGTTGTTCTACGGCGGCGTCCAGTGCCCCTTGCTCTTTGCGTACGGCCTTCTCGAAGCCATGCCTGACAACACCTAACCACAGTGTCTACACTTCTTTGCACTCTAACTGCAATTGCCGGAAAAGAAAGTCCAGCTTCCCGAAGTCCCACTACACGGCCCCTATCAAACTCACTAAGTTGACGAAATCGTACAGGTCTCCGTACTCTAGGCATCGTAACCGATCGTAAAGGATGTCAAGAAGCAAAATCCGCCAACGTTGATTCTTTACTGCGGCTGAAATATTCATTTTTAGAGCATTAGTGAATTGAAAAAAAGCAGTATAAAAATCGAAATGTCCAACTGATAAGGCTGAAAATTTTTTCACTTGTTATTTACAGTAAGATAAATACATTCACCAAATTTTATTAAAATAAAACCATTTAAACTGGGTGTTCGGATTTATATGTCACTTAGTATATTTTTAGAGAAGATCACGATTAGGTTTTCTATAACCTTCATGCAAGCCACTCAACGGTGACTTTGAATCTTACCTTGACCTTCACCTCCAAGGTTAATTTAGGGTCAACTTTTCCTATTCAAATGGAAACCAATTTTTGACCAACAGTCGTAGATATTTTACGTTCAGACACAATTAAAGTCCAAGGACAGGATGACTACTAGAGGTCAAATGAAGATCCAATGTGTGCTGCTAGAGAAACCTCGATAAATCTCACAGGATAAAAATAACTACCAAGGTCAGGTCTGTAGTCAGTTTTGACGAGTGACCTTAGATTTGACCTTGAAGATCACTTTTCAAAATCTACTAAAGAACTGACCTTGACAGTTTTATTACTGATCCTTTACGATTCATAGTGGTTGTTCTAGCAGCACCCATTTGACCTCCATTTCACCTTTAGTGGTCACCATGAACTTCAAAAATAGGGATTTCCTTAAAAAAATGAAGTTGACCCTGAAATGACCTTGAAGATGGGAATCAAAGTCAAATTCAAGATCACCGTTTATTCCCTCGTTAAAATCCCCGAAGACTGTGAGACATATAAGAGCCCCTTCCCACTTCAGTTGGCCCAGCTAGAGAAATCTTAGTTTTTTTCTCATCAAACGCAAATAATAAAAATGTAGCAGGGTGTTTCAAATATTAACAATGAATATTTTGATAATATATAGTAGAAAACACCAACTTGATCACTCCCTAATCAAATTTGCAGCATAAAAATAACACATGTTGCAATTACAGCATATCAACCTATTTTCATTTCAATGCAAAATAAGTCTATAACGCATAGGTGGCTGTGAAAAATAAAAGCCATGACAATTGTTTTTATTAATCACAGCTGTCAGAATACGTTTAAAATAGTTTTGGGTACTTAAGGTTTTCAAAATGGGTAGAGTAAAGGTGATTGGTGAGAAAATTCGGTTATTGATAATTAAATCTTTTAATTCTGGGAAATCAAACTCAGAAACTGCAACTTTGTTAGACTTATCGCGGTACAGTGTGAGAAATATTGTTAGAAGATATAACTTAACTGGTTTAGTTAATATTAAGCCACGATATGTGAAAAAAGTCATATCACTAATGCCGACCGAAAAACATTAAGAATAATAATCGTGAAAAACAGGCGTGCCAATTATTTACAATTAGGTGTCTGTGGAGTGACGCTGTTAAAGGAGAATTTTGAGGTCCACAACTCATAGAGAGGCCCACAAACTGGGACTTAGCACTTGCAAGGTAACTTTTCTTATAAAAAAAGTGAAGTAAAAACCCTAAAGTTGTACAACTTGTTTATAGGCCAAAGAAAAGCCACTATTAACTCCACTGCAAAAGAAAAATCGGCTTAGATGGGCTAAAGAACATAGACAATGGACACCTTAACAATGGTGTGCAATAAAATGAAGTGATGAGGTCCGATTCGAAGTTTGCGTTGGTGACAGTCGCAGTAGAGTTATTCGCAAAAAAAATGAAGCATTCCATCTTGACCATCTGAAGAGAAAAGTGAAATTTCCAGCATCCATTAGGGTCTGGGGCGGTACGTCATCAAAAGGAGTAGGAAAACTTCATTTTATTGATGGAAATGTGGATACAAACAAATATTTGGCAATTTTATAAGAATCACTTTTACCAGTGATGGAAGAATGTTTGACATCCGGCCAAGATTTTGTGTTTCAGCAAGATGGTGCAGCGTGCCATACCTCAAAAAAGTCTATAAAATGGATGGAATAAAATAATGTACCACTTTTGAAATGGGTTTCGAGCAGTCCAGATCTGTCACCTATTGAAACTTTGTGGCTCGTACAATCACCGAACTGAGACAAAAGCTTGAAGAAATATGGAATTCTTTTACACCAAATTTTTGCCAAAACTTGGTTTACACTATGCCCCAAAGAATTTCAGCCGTAATAAAAAATAAAGGTGACGTTACCCAATGGTAATCTTTCAATTGTTGCTTTGTTAACTTCGCGCATTTATTCGCACATTGTTTATTTGTTCAGATGTTCTATTAGTAATAGGTCTGAGTGATTTCAAATATGTATTTTTTACGACTAGAGTGTATCTAAAATGTTTTTGAGAAAATAAATTGTTTTAGAAGTAAATAGTTTCGTCATGTTTAGTTTATAAAGGCATGTTTTGGTAAAAATCTTGAAGTGGGCCAACTGATGTGGGACGGGGCTCGTAGACGTTTTCCTAGCAACATTCGATCTTCATTTGGTCTTTAGTAGTCATCCTGGCCTTGGACTTTAACTGTGTCCGAACGTATAATTTTCTGTCCTTTCGATTGTCATCATCAAAAATAAGGGTTTCTATTTGAAAAAATAAAGTTGACCATGTACTAACCTTAAAGGTCAACGTCAAATTCGAAGTCACCGTTGAATTCCTTGCTGAAAGGTACGGAAGACCTCGGCCTTTTCCAAAAACACAATACTCGAGAAAATACATAGCCGTTCCGGGACTTTTGTCACGCTGTATACTTGCTTATGGTGAAACATATGATGGATCCTTCCATCCCAAGCTACAGCTCGATGATGGCTCGCCAAACTGGGTTAAAAAAAGAGACGCAATACGTAGCCGAACATCGGATTTATGATATACGGAGGGATAACGACATTTCGAGAAGCGATCTGTATTTCTTTAACAAGGGGGAAAAGTTTTAACAATGTTATTGGGTTTCGGGTAGGCTGTTACGTCGAGGCGAAAGTTTCGATTGGAAATGTATTTATGATACAAGGGACATGAACGTTTTTTTAACTGTAGAAGCCTCAAAGTTTGAGGACCCTTGTGGAAATATTGACCTTCGTCAGTGCCTGTCAAACTTTATATTCTCATGCTTGTCGTTACTTGACCCAACAGAGTGAAAAGTAGATTTATATTTGAAGACTTGGTGGAAAAAGTTGTTAACTCAATTTTTTCAGATTTCAAGATTTGTAGCGCAAAAAGGTGGTAAAAGGGTGCTTTTTTGGAAGTACATCTATCCGGGCAAAGATCGTTCTTAGATATACAGATTCACAAAAGTGTTAACTATACCAAAAGCTTCAATCTGTAAACTTTAAAAGGTGTTATCTCTTGCATTATAGGTAAAAAGGTGTCAACTCAAGAGTTAATTCAGTTTTTGTTTAAAATGTAAAAATGTTTGCGATGTAGGATCGAATGAGGAACATGTTGCAAACTATAAAAAAGCCCTTGCCGAAAATTTCTATATGTAAAGCCCTCTATTTACGACAAGTATGGCTCTACAATCTACGAATACATTTGGTATCAACACAGCAACCAAATGGTAAAGGTTTTTCCACGTCTGTACCGAAGACTAAGGAAATTGTGGTCCTGAAGAGATTGGCAGGTCACTTATGGTCTTTTTGAAAAATATCATCGACCAAGGCATGGCTTCCGATCATCTGATTGCAAGGAGTGATTCGGCAGGTGGCTAGAATGAAAATTTCTATATTGTGTGTCTATGGCAGTAGCTAATAATCTCTGGAGTGTTCAAAAAAAAGACTATAATATGTTCCTTGAAGTAGGACATACCGTCATGGACTCTGATAGAGATTTTGCAGCTAAAGAAAAGTCTATCAGAAAGCACCAACTAATTTATACGGTTTATGAATATATTTCAAGCAAGGCAGAGGCCTGGAATAAGACACCTAAATATGTAACAAGAATGGCGGATAAATTTGTTGATATTAAAGAACATCCAAGAGAACTTGGACTGGTCGATAGAAAAAAACTACAACTGATAACAAATTTTTATTCAGAGGTGTAAGATTGATCCAGAAACGGAAAATTGTTGATATAATTGAATGTCGATAGAAGCCGACCTATCGGGGCCAAAAAGTTTGATAATGTTCAGGAACAAATTCCTTTAATACCAGCAAATTTATCTGAATTTAAGAAAAAAGAACAATGTTAACATTAAATAAATAACATCATCGAATTAACACCTTTCTGCTGCTTGCATTTTCCGAACTAAGCAGATAACAGTTTTTTGAAAAGGTGTTAAGACAGATTTTCAATATTATTCAAATTTTTGATAATAAAAACATCTTTTTTAACAAACCTGTCTATTCCAGATACTTTTATATGTGTCTTAAATAACCTCCAATAACGAAAGCAGCCCTAACACTATTCAATAAAAAATATCAGGATTTAAACTTTGAGGCCAATTACCATCATTTGAAATATCGAAGTTAGACGTTTGGTGTTGTGTTTTTTTTGTGGAAGACGTAAGAGATGTAATTTATTATTATTTAAAAAACTGAAAATGATCAGGGTACGTTATTATAAGCTCATGATCAAAAGGAAAACATAGTCCGCGGATGCTAACGTAAAATACATAGAATAAAAACAAAAACCTCATAGCTATAAAGTTTGTTCGCTGTTCCACCTATCCTAATATAGGCACTTTGAAGCTATTGGCTGTCATAGCATTAACCACACTTTCTGGTAATCCAGCGTTTCTCAATCGTTCAACGTTCGCGACCAAATTTTTAATATTTATTACCCCCCCCCCCCCTCACACAATAACATTGCTTGTGTATACAATAATAATGTACCTGCTAAACTTACAGTACAACCTTAATTACAAATCTCACTTAGCGAAAATAAGTAACTTTATAGATATTTGGCAACGCCGATCCGCTGCATTTGCAAATCCGGAATCAATGCCTCTCTTCGCGAAAAGTTCCGAGTTATCCCGAAGATTCTAACATTCTCGCGAACGTGTATACACGCCACATCTCGTCAATTCTGGTTAGTCTACTAGTGAAGCATCAACAATAAAATCAAAAAAATTCTCAAGAATACTTAAATTTTAGGTTTACATGTACTGAACTCAATGAGGAAGAGATGCCTCTCTGTATGGTTTGCTCAAAAACCTTAGCAGATGATAGCATGAGACCTAATGAATTTAAACGACATTTGGAAACGCTTCATAGCGAGTACGTTAACAAAGCCCGAGATTTCTTCGAGTTAAAATTAAAATCATACGAAAAGCAACAATCGTTTTTTAAGAAAATATTTGACTGTGACTGAAAAAGCTTTACTTGACTCTTATAAAGTCTCATTTGAAATAGTTAGATGTAATGCCGGAACCGCACGCTTGCAAAATCGCCGCAAATCGGTACAAACGCAAACGTGCAGATAGAGCGTTTGGCTTGGTTTGCGTAGGTTTGCTAGCGCTAGTAGCCGATCCGATCGGGTGTCGGTTTTTTGGTCGCAAATCAAAAGGAGTTTGCCACAAGCGTTTGTGACACATCCATACGTTTGTGCGCGTCAGTCTCGCTTATTTACTAGTGGCGATAACAACAAAATGAGTGACTGGTTGAACGAAGAGGTTTTAAACTTCCTGGAGCGGTACCAAGGAGAAACGTGCATTTGGGACACAGGCCATCCGGATCACAAAGATATCAAAAAAAGCTGGCGCATCGAGTCGCCTCAGCGCATCATTTAGTAAGTCACTATTTAGTTAATGCCTATTAAATTAAAAACACAAATGTTACTACTGATAATGTCAGCCCCTTAAATTTTGGATGTGATGGGTACTATCTTTGGAACTAAATATCAATTTCATTAAAACAAGTACCATTTACCTGGTACGATTCGTATGAATATTTAACATCCACCACCTTCTCGGTCGTACTTTTCGTTTTATCTGACTGTTTTTTGTTGGTTTTATAACAAAAATAGCTTAAGCCAAATGCTACGGCAGACACAAGTTCGACGTCCGTCATGTTTGCCTGTTGCCTTTTCACTGACGCACCCGCAAAGGTGTGGACGGGCACGTTTGCTTCTTCAAAAAAAAAGGCAAGCGTTTGTAGGGGTTTGGAGATTGCGGGAAATGGCAAGCGTGCGGTTCCGGCATAAGAAGTCTCACACTACGAGTGATGTCTTTTAAGTTTGGCATATGCAAATAAAACAACACGGTAGGTAGTTTTAAATGAATTTATTGTTTTTCGAAGTATTCTCCACGAATATTAATACACATCTGCATGCGCTCGAACCAATTTTCGAAGCACTTATACCACTCGTTTGCTGGCAGATCCAAAGAGGAATTTTTGAATACGTCAACTGCTTCTTCTGGTGACTGGACCCTTTGACCACGCAGTCTGTTTTTAATTTTCGGGAAAGTAAAGAAATCGTTAGGACTTAGATCGAGAGTATATGGAGGATGGTCCAAAAATTCCACCTTTTCATCCGTTAAAGACTGCCTTGTTTTTTGGGCTGTGTGCAAGCTTGCATTGTCTTGGTGGAGGATGATTCTACTTTCGGGGTTGATTTTCCGCAGCTCGGCGATGACTTTTGGCAAACAAATGGTGGTATACTAATCCGCAGTAACAGTTCTTTGCTCATTAAGAGGAAATGTTGCAATATGACCCGCTTTTGACACAAATGTCGCGACCATCTTTTTCGAAACACTTCGAGCATGGATGACTTTTGTTGGCTTTTCTTCACCTTGGAACACCCAAACAGCCGACTGTCGTTTATTTTCTGGTTCATAACAGTAAATTCACGATTCATCACCACTAACAATGCTGTACACGTTTTTGAGTTTCCGAAATTGAAACGGTCAAGCGTTTTTTGACACCAATTAATCCTGGCTGTTTTCGCACTTCAGTCAACAGGTGGGGTATCCAAAAGAAACTTATTTTCTTACTCCTAATTCTTCATGTAAAATTTTTTGAATTGAGGTCTTTGAGATCTTCAAGGACGCCTCAATCTCGCGATATGTCACATGTCTATCTTCAATGATGAGTTTGCTCACAGCATCGACGTTTTCCTTTCAAAAGTTAACGCTTTTGAAAGAAAATTTTAATTGTTGAGCAGAAATTTGAAGCAAAAAACCTTGAAATGTTTGCAAATGTAGATCAATATATTAAAACCTACAAGGTTGAAGAACAGCACATGAAAGTTGTTTTCACAGCCAATGAACATCATTTAGCGATGCTGACAAAGAATTTAATAGATATTTTCTTGCCGATGACAAATCAATACTTCGTTACGAGTGGGTTCGGTATCGGTTTCAAATTACTCCCAAAGGGCTCCCAACTGCCGAAGAAGAAACCTCATAGACTTGACCGCAAACGCAAAATCAAAAAACAGTTTAATAATAAATCCCTGGTTGAACTTTGAGCAGGCGTGAACCATGAATTTTCGGCAGTGAAAACCAGAGCGTTTCGTATAGCTACTACTACCATTTTCAACATTCTACCTTTGTGAAACAGGATTTTTGGGGGTGGCTACCTTGAAGACAATATAGATCGCAGCTTAATATAGAAAAAGAACTCAAGTGTCTATTTGTTGTATTTTTTTACAATAATATTCTTGAACTTATTTTTTATTTAGTGTTGATAAATACAGTTTGTAAATGTACCTACTATAACAGTATTAGGGCCGATTTCACCAACATTAATACTATGGACCAATGGGAAAATACCTTATCGAAATGCAATTTGACAGAAGCTGTCAAAGGTCTCAGAATATCAGTGATTTCTATTAAAATATTGAATAAAATCGTGAAAATTCGACTGTATTATAAACAAGACCACTTTTTGATTCCAACATGATGCTATTGTACAGAAGAAACAGGACAACTTTCACGTATTTTGATATATGTTATAGGTTTACATTTAACAATCCGTTATCCCCCTCAGCGAATGGGAATGCGGCAAATAATAGGTCGATTTTCTAGCTGTTAAATTTGGCAGCAGATTTGGACGTTTGTTAATGCATGGCACTCTCGAATTTACCAACTTCAATATAATGAAAGTTATCATTACATACCTCTTGAATAGTGTGGATTTGTCTGTATTTTGCAAGAAAATAGAATATAAAATACATTCTATCCAATTCCTCATCCTCCTTTACGTCGTAATAGTAATCATTTATTAATTTGTGGGATAATGAATTTCTTCAAAGCAATACATACATTATGTCCTCTCCATCCTAAAACACAGATAACATGTGTAAGACGTGTCAATCCCTACATCTCCCTGATGCATAATGCAATTACTATGGACATAGACAAAAAATTGTGAAAAATGTTTCACAGATAATTGCTTTTAAGTTCAAAAATCAAAAAACTAGTAATGTTTACTGTTTGTCTATTTTTTTTTTACTGGCGGGGATATCTATCCGACACTCGCAGGGTTGCCAAGTCTAACGACGATCACGTCCCGTGGTGGAGAGTGCGAAATGAATCTTTTACATTTGCTGGTTTTGAATTTTTTTCGTGAAAATTTACTAGGTATCATGATTATAAGCATCTTTGGTAGAGTGTTCGATCCTGAATGGGAAAGACAAACACTGTGACATGTGGTTTATAGCATAACCGGCTGCCCTATCAATACAAATTTAACATACAGGTCGCCTAGCCGTGGGGATGCAGTGGTTGGGATGAATATCAGGGCAGCAATTGATGATTTGGGCATGTCTGGTAAGAACGTATGAAGTGCTAACTTCACAAATTTAAAGATTTTGTACAATTTCTATGAAAATGATGACAGATATGTCTGATTTGGCAGGGTAATGTCGCAGCCAAATGTCAGTCACCCTTTCTGACACAGTCCAGATCGAAAAATGACGATACTCGTGAAATTTATTGATACTTCTAAATATAGGATCCTATCGAACATCCCTACTGTCAAGATGTATAACCCAAGGTACCGACGGAGCTATTTTGCGGCGTCATGGAAATAATTTTAAATTTTCATTTGCATTTTTTCAAGTGTTGTGCACTGATTTTGGGAAAAATGTCAATAATAGTCT